CCCCCCCGAGCTTGCTCCTCCACCTCCATTAAAGTGGAAGGAGGTGGAGGGGCCGACCAAATCACCCCAGACGAGGAGCAGAGGCTGGGTCAAGCCGGCTTCATGCAGAGGCAGTTCGGGGCCATGCTCCAGCCGGGGGTCAACAAATTCTCCTTGAGGATGTTTGGCAGCCAGAAGGCCGTGGAGAGGGAGCAGGAAAGGGTTAAGTCTGCCGGGTTCTGGATCATCCATCCCTACAGCGACTTCAGGTACAACCCCCCCTTCCTGGCCCACCCAAAACCGGCTGGCTTGCCCCTTCCCCTCCCCTGTCCAGCCCAGCTCAGCCCTTTCTGCGGGGAGCGCACACCCCGAGATAACTTTCCATCTCCTAGTGCTAATTTCCTAGTCAGAGTTGCTGCAGGACAAATCCAAGATCCAGTCCAGACAAACAGTCTGCAGGGCTCATTTATATTTAAGCTAAATTTTAGTGTTCCCACACTATTGTTAATTTTAAATGATAATTCTGAACCAACAAATGGCTCTTGCTTTGGCTTTTAATGAAGGAAAGCCTCTTCATAGTTCCCCAGTGTGAATGGGGAAAAAATGTCCCCACCTGATGCACAGCTGGACTAAAAGCGTGGTGTCTGCTGCTTCTTAACTGCTCCAGTATCTCCAGTTCAAAGCCCATGGTCTGCCTGATTAATATTTCAATTCCCATTTTGATAACTAGTCATTAGTCCTCTCCCCTCTCCTTCCTCAAGAGTTAGGGAAGGACGTTGCTACTATTGCTGTTCTGTAGGGCTTCTTACTGCAGCATCGCTTGTCAAGGAATTGGTACGGGCAGGGGGATAGCAGTATTCATTAACAGGGAACTTAAGGTCTTCAGAATCTGACAGAGAAAGACTTTCTTTTGTGTCTGCAGGTCCTTATTTGCAAAATTAATTTGGATGGGGACTAATTAATATTGTTTTTATGAAAAGTAGTGCCTTTCTTTCACTCAGTTGGCAACATTTCCATGAAGATTAATAAGGAAATTAACTTGTAAGCAGTAGAACCAATTCTTGTACAGTTCTCAACCACCGAGCAGAGGGGTTGTGTTTAGGTATTTCGGAGTAAAGCATTGCCTACCGCACAGGTGAATTGTCCTCTGCAATATGTATGTAAAGCACTGCAATCAATAATTAATTACTTAGTGCAATCAATAGGTAGGGTTTATTGCTTCAGCTTTAATTACAACTGGCTTACAGCTCACATTTAAAAGCACAGAGTGGAAGAACGTCATTCAAACACATACCTCTCAAACTATATACTGATTTTATTAAATTTTTGGACTCTTCAAGAAACCTTGCTTTATTCCCTAAAACACAGTTAGCAAGACTATTGCAGGAAAGAGTTGCAGGATGGATTTGGCTGTCCAACAACAAAAAACTCTTGGCACTACTTTTTAGACATTTAACAAACAGTTCATACACTTAGAGGATTCAGAACTGGCACTGAACCGATTCCTTGATATTTACTTGGATTAAGAAACATTATTAGAAGGCTACATGAATTGGAAGACCACACTGTCATTTAAATTCTGTGCATTCAAGTGTCCCAGGCACACAGCAGACCGAGCGTATAAGGGTTTCCAGTAGCTACATCATGATACTGAGTCCTTGCAAGTACAATCGTATTCAAACCTGGATTGGAAAGGGTATAAAATTGCCTTTCAGTTGCAACTGATCAAGTAATACCTCACAAACACAGTGAAAAGTGAGAGCGATTGCCTTTTAAAAAATTAACAGCAATTTCATACTCTTGGCTACAGATTTATTTGCCACAAGTCTGGAGTTAAAAACAAACAAACCACTGCGCTATCTTGGGTTATTCTAGCAAAGCATTGTCTGCATGTAGCACCCTGAAGGAATTTTGGATTTAGTCTCTGGATCATATGAGTGGACTTACCTAAAAGTAGCCTTTAGTTTGCATATCTTTTATGCATCTGTACAGTGTGGCTTATTCCCTCCCTTCCGTCTTTATAATTACATTTTCAGCACCAAACCAGACTGGTAAACTTCAATTAAAGGGTTGTAACCGTAGCTGAGGTAGCCACCTTGTCCAAGGTGAGATGGTGCTAAAAGATTGTTGGGTTTTTTTTGGGGGGGGATTCCTGGTTAACTAGTGCTTATTCCTTAAAATGACACTATAAATGATAAGTTTTTATTTCTGAGATGCTTGACTACAGAGTCACTCCTAGCCTTGTACAAAGGAATGAAATAAGCAGGCATGTTAGACTCTCCCAAGACAAATGATCAGACTGAGTCTGCTAACACTCAGATGTTCGCAGGCATGTATGTGACTTGTTAGTTTTAATAATTAAATCCTCCCGATTTAGCTTTGCATTTGTGCAGAGAACGCATAGTGAGTAGGATAGCTGTACCCTGATGCAAGACATTCTCTGCTCGGTGTCAGATTCCAGGTAGGCTGATATCTTGCTGCTTTGCGTTTCTTCTAAATTGATGCTAGAAGCCTAGCACAGAAATACGCGCTTTCTCCCCGCAATTATGTATCAACATCAGATGGGGCAGTGGAATTGATTGTATAAGGAACACTGCTGAAGAGGCCAGGAGTAGCTAGGTGCACTACTATATGATCAGTACCTATGACGCTTTCTGGGGAACTTTGGTCACCCCTGTTTCTAGGTCACTTGCAGCATGTCTATCTGAATATGACTGCCCCTGAGAGAAAATATGTGGACTTCCATGAAGAAATGACCTATGAACAATGGCTGCATTGAAGGAGAAGAGTGGGAGCTTTGCTCGATTCTGATAGGGTTTTGTATTCCTTCCTTCTCTGAATGCTGCTAAAGCATCTCTCTTGGGAACGGCTCACATGAATATGAATAACATTTTTTGACCTCTGAAATGCAGCAGATTGCACCAAACAGCAGGTATTATCAAAATATTTGCAGAAGCTATATATCCTTGGCCCAAAGGACTTTATTTTCTCCTTTGCAAATTATGCAATGCAGCGCTGATTGCTCCTTGTTAAAGAAGGGTGCAGATTCTGGAGCATTAGGATGTTGTAAGAGGCATGAGTCTCCATTAGCCTGCACTTTGCATAATCACTAAAACCATACAGTAGCATTTGGTGTAAAAGTTTCAAGTTAATAAATATTCGGACCCAGATCTTGTTTCCTGTCTTTTTGGGGAAAACAGTTTCACCTCTGAGAGTGGCTCTTGTACCGCTAAGCATTTTGGTAGGTCTCCAAAACTCATGACTCCTGTCTCAGTACTGCTCAAGATGTGAACTTTTGAATTGAACATTCCTACCCTATTTGCTAGAGCTCGATTCTGTTGTAAGCTTACACTGATGTGATTCCTCTGCTTCCTTCATGGTGTTATGTCTATGTGCTATGCAAGAGGAGCGCCTGATTTAGAATAGAACAGAGGCTTTCATCATACTTTCCTTAAGTTACCATTTTAACATCAAATATGGCTAATTCCAGTGGCAAATCTATGACCCCCAAGAGTAAAGCAAGTTAATACAGATTTAGATTCTGTTGATTTCGGCTTTTAGTCCATTGTGAGGGGAAAAGCATCAAATGACCTTTACAAAAACCAAACCTTATGCCCCTGAGTACTCATGACTAAGGCAGTGGACTAGTTCTAGAAGCACTTAAAAGATGTCTTACCATTTTAAAATGAAAATAAGAATGCTAGTTCCTGTTCTGAGGTGCAGAACACGTATGTGCTAGTTTCTTGAGTTTATTTGCATCCATGGTTGATTGCACATCAGTTCAGAACCAATGCGTATTTCCTAGATCAAGATTTATCTGAGACTTTGAAAGCTTTTTCAGTAGCTAGATAGAATTGTAATTTATTACGTAGAGGAAGCATTGATCCAGTACAATTGGTTTAATAAAAAAATTCCAGACAAGCAATGATCTGTCTGGTTTGTAGTCAACTGAAAGAATATTGGTGGTAGCTGCTATCCAGAACTGCTTGCAAAAATGCGTAGCATGCTGCTTTTAGAAAGGACTGAGAACAGATACACTATCTGAAGGATCGAAATAGTCCAAACTGTGGATGTAAACAGAACTGCACATTATTCACTGCCCAGTAACCTATTAACTTCTTCACAGAAAAGAGAAGCTGGTGCTTCTTTGAAAACAATGGAAAATATTCCATTCAGAAACAGTCCCAATTTCAGATTTTGGAATTTGTCTTCCCATTGTTCTTTTTTACTTGGATACTTGTCTGCAAACAGAACCTTGGTTTCATTTGCTTCCTCTGCATGATCCCCATACCTCCTTGGGAGCCTGAGGACATTGTTAGGGCACCAAAAGGAATTAGACATTGAAGTGCAATAGATAAGCATGAATTCCTGAAGAACAAAATCATTTCCTCTCCTGTATGCTGGCGCAGTCGTCTGAGCAGCATCAATCAGACTGCCTTCACTTGAGGAACCGGAGGGATTTACTAATCCTAGTACTGAATACTGAACCCAACAGCACTGGTGGGATCGAGCAAAAATAGGAAGGACACATGTGTTTCTCTTTTCCACTCTCTTGAGTAGAACGGATTTCCAGAGTGCCTCCTGAAGAGTTGCTCTGGGTGCAGAGATTTGTTTCCATTGGCAAGCTTTTCACTACTTTGTTAAGAGAGTAAACAATTTGTGGAGCGTACAGCACTTGTTCACTGACTTTGGCAGTTCACTTAGGTGGGTATTGCCGTCCCTGCTCTCAGACAATAAGACTCTTTTCTTTACCTGCTGCCCAGCGTGCTGCCTCACTTCATGCCTTTCCACATTCAGAGGCTGCCCACAATGGCAAACTCTGACCTTGTGACTTGCCCATTGCTCGTAACAGAGTAAAATGAAAGCTACCCATTGAGTGAGCCTTGTGCACTGCAAATTGAACTTCTGGTAGAGTGAAACCTCTGCTTAGAAGTAGCGGCTGGGGACAAAATTGCCTCAGTAGCAGAACCTGTGCCAGTCATTGGAAACAAATACAAAGTGCAAACCAGGCTCAGGTTTATTGGTAGGCAACTCGTATACTTGCCTCTCTTATCTTCTTGTTCATGCTGATGGTGATTGCTCAAAATAGTGTAGGGACACCGCTACCTGAGGAAGGGGAGATATTTTCCTAAAGTTGGATATTGCTATTTTTACTGCAGATAACTTTCCTGCCAATTCCCAGGACAGTTTTGCTGAAGCAGAACTAGGGGATAGAACAGAAATAATTGGAGGGAGAATCCAAATCCCACTAAACAGTATGGATTAGACT